AATCATATACATGATTGAATGTGGGAAGTAGCAGGTGGAGAAATGTTGAAAAGCCAGGAGAGGAGGGAAGACCAACCCACCCAGACCCGGTGGAGTTCACGTGGAGGTGATAATTATAACTAAGAGGAAAACATCACTTCCATAATGCTAGAAGGGAAGGAAGTAATTGTGAGTGGAGGTGCACTTAAGTTAGATTTGTGTTTACATGGGTTTTTGGTGTAGGCCAGTGTGTGTTTGTGCATAAAAAGGACTACTCATGAGGCGCATGGGTGGCTCAGTTGGTTAAGTGTCTGACTCTTGATTTCGGCTCGGGTTGTGATCTCAGGGCCCTGGAATCGAGCCCTACGTCAGGCTCTGCACTCAGTGGGGAGTCTGCTGGAGATTCTCTTCCTCTCTCCCTTTCCCTCTGCCCCTCCCCATCTCTCTCTCTCTCTCAAATAAATAAATCTTTTTAAAAATTTTAAAAAATAAAAAGGACTACTCGGACTTTTAATTTGGTTTAAACAATTAGTGTTCAATGTATTAAGATTATAAATTCAAAAATGCAATTCGTCCTAGGCTTTATATTCATCTCACAAATCTTACTCTATTTGGAAGTCTAGCAAAATTGAACAGGCACTTTCAAGGGACTTTTGATGAATGCTTGGTCCTTTTTACCAACTTAAGTATGTTCAAATGCTTTAAAACTGTGTCTGTATGAATGTAATGTATTCTGTTTTCTTTTTTAAGCACCTCATTTATCTACTCAAACAAAACCTGGCTGAGTGCATAGGAAGTATTATAAACCTATTAAATGAAATTATAGAGTGGACCTAAAGATTTGTTAGATGTTATAATACCATGCATAAACTTAGGAAGATTTCAACTTAAAATCAGAAGTCTAATCATTCGGGGCACCTCTGTCGGTTAATCAGTCAGTTAAGCCTCTGCCTTTGGTTCAGATCATGATGCTGGGGTCCTGGGATCCTGGGCTTGAGCCCCACATCAGGCTCCCTGCTCTGTGGGGGAGCCTGGCTTCTCCCTCTCCCTCTCCCTCTGTCTGCCACTCCCTCTGCTTGTGCTCTCTCTCACTCTGTCAAATAAAAAAATCTTTTTTTAAAAAGTCTAATCATGGGCGCCTGGGTGGCTCAGTTGGTTAAGCGACTGCCTTCGGCTCAGGTCGTGATCCTGGAGTCCCGGAATCGAGTCCCGCATCGGGCTCCCTGCTCGGCGGGGAGTCTGCTTCTCCCTCTGACCCTCCTCCCTCTCATGCTCTCTGTCTCTCATTGTCTCTCTCGCAAATAAATAAAATCTTAAGAAAAAAAAAAAGTCTAATCATTCAGTTATTCACTTTAAATCGTTTTCTTTTAAGTTTCACTTTAATTTCTTAAACAATAGTGCAGAAAAGACCAAATATGCATAAAAATATTAATAGCCTGATGTTGATGCTTTAAACCTTTCTATATTTAATTTTAAATATTTCCAGAGTGGAATGATACATACTCACCAAGGAAGAAAATTACTTGGAAATAACCGAGACCATTTTCAAGCAAATATTTTGACAGAACTGCAGGCATCCAGAGTGATTTCCATCTCCCTGAATGTCACACTGAGCCCCTTTTTAGAGCAGCTATGTCATGAGTAACAAAACTTAAAATGGGTTTGGTCTCACAGATGTGCGCTGTGGACAGTACCTGATTCTTGATCTCCTCAAGAACATAGGACAACCAGGTTGATCTTGGATCTTTTATGACAGGTACTTTCGTTTCCATCTAAATGTTAAAGACCTTCAAATTTAATGGAATTCTAACATTTGTACATTTTTTCTATCTAATGACACATGTAAATTTGATAGCCTAAAATAATGTATTTTCCATTTAATGATAAAGACCTTTAAATGGGACACCAGATATGTACATATCTTTTCTATTTAAAGAGCTTTGAACTTGATGGAATCCTGCATTCTTCATATTCTTAGGACCACACAACAGTTGCAGATGTTTAAATGATCTTCAGTTGAGTTTTGGATATCCCTCTTGATCAAGCCAAGTCTGATTTGCTTTTGTGAAATGAGGTCATTCTTCTGAGAGCTTATGAGGAGGGACAGGAAGTTAAGAGTTCCCATCTGGTGGCCTCTGTTTTCTCGGCAAATTCTTATGTGAAGCTGTCTGTTAAAGGAGATGGGGGTCACATGGGATGAGGATAAGAAAAAAAGTTTTAAAATAACCATATTTGGTAATGAAAGATCTGAGTAGATCCATGCTGCCTACTTTATAGACTCATAAGTGTGTAACATGAAAGCCTTTTAAAGCGGAGACAATACTCAAGATGAGAATTCATGTTGAATAGTTTATATGGTTTTTATATTAAATGTGCACATTTAGTCATTTGAGTATTTGCCATTGATAACGAATATTCTTTGTAGCTGATCACAAGGTCACAGCTCAATGTCAAAGGAGCTTTATTAATAAAGCAATTGAAGCAGTAATTTATACTGCAAAAAGTTCTAGACTCATTTAACATTTATTTTCATTTGCTAGTCAATTACCGGCTGTCAGAGTATATTAACTATTATGAATTTGAGTCAAAAGCTGTCACCCCTAAGTGTATTAACTCTCCCTAATCACATAGGTAGTGATTTGTCCTGTGAAAGAATGATATTAATCACCCAACTTACATCTGTCTTCATGATGGTATAAAATTGCCACTGGCTTCCATTGCAGAAGTGAAGTAAATCAATGTAGACACCAAAAATGAAAGCAGACAGTCATGAATCATGAGTATTTCCATTCATGTTAACAAGCTCCTCATTGTTTCCAGACAGAAATAAATGTCAGCCAACTTTCAGAGCTTTTTGCTTCTTAGTGTTAAAAATATAGTTGTTTATTATTATTATTATTACTAGTTAACATTGGTAGAGTATTTATTATGTGCCAGGCACTATGCTCAAAGCTTTATATGAATTATTTCTTTTAATATTCACAATAACCCTGTGAGATTATTGGTTCTTATATTTACGGTTCTTATGCTACCATATCTCATTTTGTAAGGGTAAACAATGTCTTGAAAGACTTGAATAACTTGTCCAAAATGGCAGAGCCTGGAGTCCAACCCAAGCAATTTAATTCCATAACCTTTTCTCTTGGCCAGTATTCTACACTGATGGATGCTGTTACATATTTACTAGGTGAATCAGTTAAGAATGCATTTGGGTACAAAGAACTAAAATCCAACATAGAGTAGTTGACCAAATAGCAACTTATTTTTTTTCCTCACTTAACAGAAAGAATGAAGACAGTCAACTACTCACACTGGTTTAGTAGCTCAACAGTACCAGGACCAGTGACTCTGTGATTCCCTGGCCTTTCCATCATGGCTGCAAAAATGGCTGCTTCAGTCTCAAGCATCGGATTCACATTTAGGGCAGAAAAAAAGGATGGTGGGAAGAGTTGGCGCCAGCCATAAGTGTGTTGTTTATCATGAAAGCAAAAGCCTTCCCATTTGTATCTCATTGGCCCAAACTATTTGACATGACCACCCTCATCTGCAAAGGTAGAAGGCAGCAGGGAGAAGGGAAGGGTGCTGACTGATGGACCAGCCTTGGGTCAAAAGTTACAGAAGCCACAAATTCTGTAGGAATATTTCACTGAACTTTCTTTCTTTCTTTCTTTCTTTTTTTTTTTTTTTTTGGAGGAAAGAGCTGTGATTCTTCAGCACCTAATGTATTACTCCTAATGTATTCTTGCCTCATTTTCTAGAATGTATTCCTAGATAATAAGGGAAAGCTGTAGTTCCACTGAGTCAGGGCTGCTTGGTTGCAAGAAACTATTACATTACTTAAGAAAATAGGTGAATTTCAGTTATTTATTCAACAAATAAATGTATTAAGCACTTATTATATGCCATGTACTCTTCTAGGCTCTGGGGATACATCAGTGAACAAAACATTTAAAAAAGAAACAGACAGACTCATTGACTATGCTGGAATCTCATGGACCCCAAGGATGTAATAGGGCCTTGAGGAGGGACAGGAACCAGGGGCTGAGAAGCTGTCAGGAATTCAACAACTTCTCTGAGTATATCTCCTTCATTCTGCTCACTCTGATTTCTCTTAATCCTTAGTTGGCATGATGGATAGAATATGGTCACCCTACATTGCCTGAGTTTTCATCTTCTATTCAAGCAACAACTCAAGCTGAACCAGAGTCTCTCAATCTCAATCCAAATACTTAGGCAGAAGAATTTGAACCCACAGAGCCCAGGGACGGTGAAAGACACATTGAAAGGATCTACCTCGGGGCACCTGGGTGGCTCAGTCGGTTGAGCATCCGACTTGATTTCGGCTCAGGTTGTGATCTCAGGGTTGTGAGATCGAGCCCAGTCTCAGGCTCCACACTCAATGTCGAGTCTGTTTAAGACTCTCTATCCCTCTGCTCCTCCCCGCCTTCTCTCTCTCTCTCAAAATAAGTAAGTCTTTAAAAAAAAAAAAAAAGAAAGATGTCTACCTCAAAAGACTACCTGTTGCTGCTACCCATCCCCAGGCTTATTGGTGCTTTTCTAGACACTCCACCTGTCATCCATCAGAGCTCCCTTGTATCACCCCAGAGATTTGAAAGTTACCTCTGCCTGGAAGAGAACATTTGTTTAGCTATGTTAAAGTTGCCAGAGTTTTGAACTTTTTCAAATCACTTTGTGCCCTAATGTATTAAATGTTTCCTCCCTACAGCCCTTGTCCCTGTCTTCCAGACAAGGGGACATTTGAGTCTTTGTTAACATCAAACTCCCTTCCTCTCACTTCAAGCCGAGCCCGCAGAAGCCAACAGCACTACTAATCAGTTTTGTTCCAAAGTACACATTGAAATGTGGGTTGGTGTATTCTTTTATGACCCTTATGAACTTTAAGCCAGGGAGATATGATTCCTGGTGATTTTTTTAAAACCTTTTTGTTTCAAACCAATGGGTGTTTTTTCATTCCTGCATATACTGAATTGCTAACCTTCTGCTAATCTGTTTTTCTACAGGTTGTGGATTTGCCTTCCGGTGGAGGGGGATGGGCAGGCTGGGGCTCCTGGGGCAAATCTCTGCTCTCATCAGCATCTGCTACAGTAGGTAAGAATTATATGTTGCATTTGAATGGATAAAGTTCAGAAGGCTAATAATAGCATTTGACATTTTGATCATACAATGTACTGATAGAGGCTGCCATTAGCCGGCGAGATAATAAGAGCAAATCATTTTTAGTGCCTGCTGTTCTAAGGGCTTCATGTATATTGATACATTTATTCCTCAAAATAACCCTAGAAACAGGTATTTTTGCTTTCTGCACTTTGGAGATAAAGAAGGTGAATCACAGAGAGGCTAAGACCTTGTCCAAAGTCAGAAGTAGTTGGGTTGAGATTTGAACCAACTAGTATAGGTTTAACCACTATATTACATTGATCTTAAAATATAAGATTTGAGGTCTTACATTCTTAAAGTGTTGTACTTGTCCTCCCACCTGAATGTTTTAAAATATACAACTAACCTACTCCCTGAAAGGATTTGAGGTATTTCATTAAAATATGCAGGGACAGGGGCGCCTGGGTGGCTCAGATGGTTAAGCGTCTGCCTTCAGCTCAGGTCATGATCCCAGGGTCCTGGGATCGAGTCCCACATCAGGCTCCCTGCTCCTTGGGAGCCTGCTTCTCTCTCTGTCTCTCTCTCTCTCTGTCTCTCATGAATAAATAAATAAAATCTTTATAAATAAATAAATAATATATATATATATGCAGGGACAGAGGATATAGAATATATATCCCAAGGCTGGTAGAGTTACTGTAATTGAGCATTGACCTTGACTCTGAGTGTCTTGGCTGCCAGTAGATTATCAATTTTTCATGGAATGATCAACCAAAACTTAGTTTATCTAGATAAATTTCTTTTCCTGGTGTTACATTTTTGAAGACATTTCTTGTATTGGCTCTGTATATACAAAGAGAAAATATAGTGGGCAATGTCTTCATCGGAACAGGTGTGTGAAAATATTCTTCATGTGACCATTTCTCATGGGCATTCTTTGTGAAAACTGAAGGTGTAACATCAACATGTCTAAGCTGATTTAGCAAAGGCATTTCATCTTGAAGGTGGAGAGCAAGGAGAAGGATAGGGGAAGCCGCAGGTAACATAGCTTTCAGATCATCTAAGTCAGGTGTACTCGAGGTGTAGTCCATGGCTGTTACTCCTAAAAGCAGGAGGGATAGGAAGGCTGAAAAGCCTTTGTCCCACTCCAATGGGCCATGGTCACAGTCTAAGTGCCAGATATCTAATTGGATAGACTACTTGCAAGAATGGGTAGACTACATTCCTCTATTTCGTGTCTGGAATGTCAGGGAGCTCTGGCAAGAAGGAGATGGTGGTCAAATAATGTTGGTCTTTGGGGAGACCCTGGAGAGCAGATTTTTTCTGTTGCTAATTGAAGGGGCCAGGGTGCTGTGGATACTACCTATGCAGATGGAAAAATCAGCCAAGTTACAGGAGAGGGGCCTGTTTTGTGTTCTGAACAGGACAGAGTCTCTTCAATAGTGAAGATAGGTGCCTGGAGGCATCCTGCTTCCTAAGGAAAACATTTGAGCTCTTAGTGGGTCTCACATGGATCTTGCCACCCACAGCATGTAGGAGTGACATGCTTTCTGACCCCAAAACTGTGGAGTCCAAAAGTTTTTGACATTTGATATCTCATAGAACAGTAAATAATATGGTTACCAAATTTTACAGCTCTCCTCGTGGTTTATGTCATAAAACATGAAGTATTTTGGGTGCTTCCAGGAGTAATAATGGTGTCCAGAAATGTCCTGGCCTATAATGAATTTGGTGCCTCGAAAAGTTCTATTATAGACAAAGGATTTACTTTCTCATTAAAAAATTACATATAAGCTCCTTCCCCAGTAAACATTGAAATCACCTGCCCCATGGGTCGCAGGTCAGAAGATTTGGGTACACTTACAGGTGCCCCTACCTGGACCTGGTCTGCCAAAAGCTCGTGTGTTTGCTATTGTTTCTCATCAGTCAGCGGCTACACCTAACCATTTGACTTCAAGCTTCGTTGGATCCTTACAAAGTTTTCCGTCTACCAACCGACAGCTTGCCTGTTAAATTTACCATCCATTATCTTCTCAGGTGTCCTGTTGTAATCCGACCTTTGCACAAAGAGAGCCCGGTGCGGCCGTGGTCAGTGGACTGAGTTCCACAGCCTCTGGGTTTTGTTACCTGGTTCACGTGTAACCAGTAGATGATGCTAGATTTACTGCTTAAAAAGCAGGATGTGATTCCTGTGGTGGGTCCCACCTCATCATGGGGGGCACTCATCTTTTAATTTGATCTGAAGTCAGTGTGTTGATCTTATAGGCTGTCTTTGCATTTGCTGTTACTCTTGAAGTTTCCCTGTGTCTAAGGCACCATGAAGATGAGAAATGCTGGATCTTGTTAATGTTGCGACTACTTAAAATGTCTGGTGGTTCTTCCCTAGCTTTGTGCAGTAATTGATCCGGAATAGCCTAGAGAGGTAACTGTCGTGGACCAACAGGATCACTGTGCCAGTCACTGGTGCCATATTCCCTTCCATGGTTGGTGCAGATAGACTGTTTCTACGATTGTATCACATTTGCACATCGCCCCATAAAATATCAGAATGAAGTTCAGTACAACCTCTGGTATTCGTTGCTATTGCTGTATAACAAATTACCACAAAGTTAGAGGCTTACAATGATAGACATTGACTGCCTCCGTTTCCGTGGGTCAGGAGTTCAGGTAGGGAATAGCTGGGTTCCCTGCCGAGTGACTTACCAGGCTGAGATCAGGGTGTCAGCCAGCTGTGTTCTTGTGTGATATCCAGGGTCTTCCGGAACCATCTTCCGAGGTTATTCAAGTTGTTGGCAAAATCCAATTCCTTGAGGTTGTAGGATTGGCACTCCCATTGTCTTGCTGGTTATTGGCCAGGGGTCACTCACAGCTCCTACAGGCTGCCTGTTTCAGAGGATAATCTCACCCATGCTTCAGATCTCTCCCTGCAGGAAGGGCCTCATCCCTTTTAAAGGTTCACCTGAGAAATCAGGCCCCCCCAGGATGATCTCCTTTGACAGACTCAAATTCAACAGACTAAGGACCTTAATTATAACTGAAAAATCCCTTCACCTTTGCCATATAATGTCCCCTAATCATGGGAGTGAAATTCCATCATTTTCACAATCCTGCCCACGCTCCAAGGGGAGGGGATTACCCTGGGTGTATACACTAGGGGGCACTCTCTCAAAACTACCTACCACACTTCCCTCTTCTGTTTGAAGTCCTCCTCAGTTATCCCACAAAGTCCAGAAACTTACTTTTTTTATGCCTCTAGCTACATGCTGGGATTTTTAGAAGTATTTAAATCTTGACATTTTTCTCTTATTTGCATCCACAATGTCCAAAGGGCACATGAGAGAGCTCAAAGTAATTTTGAAATGTTGATGCCTATTCTGAGAATCCTATTAGACAAATTGGAGCTATCTTTAGAAAAGAAAAGTAGAGTGGAAACTTTTTCCTCACCATTGGTTATCACCCAATGAATGCAAAAGCAATAACCCCGATTACCCTCCGTAAGTTGCTCCTGAGGCATTATTTTGGAGATTTCTGGTCAAGACATGTGTGTCTTACAATAGTAGCTAAAATAATAGCAATACATACTTTAAAACTGGGTAAGGATCTCTCTGCGGACATGAGAAAGAACTAAAGCTTATAGCGTAAGGGGGGGGCTGAAGTTACAGGTTCCAAGGCTGAAAACCTTGGTGGTGGTTGGGAGTTGGCTCCCCAAAAGATAATAGGGATTGCAAGCATCCCACAAATGGAGAGGTGCCACAGCCAAGCTCACAGCCTGAAACAGAGGGTTGGAATAGGGTTTACAAAGTTATGGGTGCCATCCTGGGTTGTCGTCCATATCGACCTGCTACCCAGGGATGGAGAGAAGCAAGCCAGGCACGGCTTCTGTCACGTACAGCCCGAACATCCGCCCAAGACTTTGCAGCACTAATAGGTTATTATCACAGGGCAAAGAAACATATTGGAAAACAGAGCACTCACAGCAGTAGATGAGCTCTTGAAGGTTTATAAATTGCCTGTGGAAAACAAAGAAAGAAAATAACCACATATTCCATCGCAATCGATTCTGGCTCAGAAACCTCATGTTACCCCCAGGGTAATTCTGGTTGCAGACAGGAGTGCAAAACACCTAGTCGGTAACACAACACAGAGCTGTCAACCAGAAAGAGAAACCAATACTTCTTTTTTTTTATTATTATTATGTTAGTCACCATACATTACATCATTAGTTTTTGATGTAGTGTTCCATGATTCATTGTTGGCGTATAACACCCAGTGCTCCATGCAGAACGTGCCCTCTTTAATACCAATCACCAGGCTAACCTATCCCCCCACCCGAAACCTTCTTACACTTGTTGAAAAACTACAATCATAGTAGTTCGAGCTGTGTGGAGTAAGCAGGAGAGCACGTGGAGAATTGAAACATTTGGAAGGTGGTTCTCTCTTGGAAAGAGCACTGGACCAGGAGTCATAAAGACCTGAGCCCTGTCCTCACCGTTACTAATGTGTGATCACAGAGGATGGTGACTAACTAGCAACACCATGCACCTAACCTCTTTCAGACTCGGATTCCTTATTTGGAAAAGTGTGGGTGGGGGAAGTTGAGAAATTCTAAGATTCCTTCCAATTTCCGTAACATGATGATTCCATAGTCTGTGGTTATATATAGAAGGAAAAAGATACTTATAAACCCCTGTGCTAAACGGGAAAATACAAAAAACTGATTGACTTTTTGCTGCTCTGTATTTTTATATTTTGTCTTTTTGCCTCACTACTTTGACCCCAAGGTTAAGGGAAAATGAGAAAAAGTAACCTCCCCACTGCTTATATGAAATCAAAGTTCTCAGCCAACAACTATTTTTGGAGACCCTGTAGCTCTTGCATTAGCTTCATCCACAGCTACGCTGTCACATTCTAAGAAAACTTGATCACCTGCCGCCCCTGCCTTTGGGCAAGTTCAGAAAATGAAATTAAAATGGTTATTATTTAAGATCCAG